TATTGTGATGGGCGTGAGGGTTACAGGTACGTGTGTGTGTGTGTGTGTGTGTGTGTGTGTGTGTGTGTGTGTGTGTGTGTGTGTGTGTGTGTGTGTGTGTGTGTGTGTGTGTGTGTGTGTGTGTGTGTGTGTGTGTGTGTTGTGTGTGTGTGTGTGTGGTGTGTGTGTGTGTGTGTGTGTGTGTGTGTGTTTGAGTGTGTGTGTGTGTGTATGTATGTATGACACTTAACCCCAAAAAAGGAGACGCAAATAAATCACACAAACTTTGATGATGCATTTACAACCTACACACGCAACAAGTGCAAGAACACACGCAACGCTACTTATACTTCCAAATGACACAGGCGAGTGTGTGCATACGAGTGTGTATCTGTGCATGAAGGCTTCTGAATGCAGGTTAGCCGCCCCTCGCCGAGTCACGTAAGCCAGGGCTCAAGTGGCGAGGCAGCGGACGCCAGGGAGGGAGAGCGCCACGTGTGTGTACCTTGAAGGGCGACGTCGAGACGAGAGAGGGAGGGAGGGAGGGAGGAGAGGGAGGAGGAGAGGGAGGGAGAGGGAGGGGAGGAGGAGAGGGAGGAGGAGGAGGGAGAAGGGGAGGGAGGAGAGGAGGGAGGAGAGGGAAGGAGAAGGAGGAGGGAGGAGGAGAGGGAGGGAGGGAGGAGGAGAGGGAGGGAGGAGGGAGGAGAGGGAAGGGAGGAGGGAGAGGAGGGAGGGAGGAAGAAGGGAGGAAGGAGGGGAGAGGGAGGGAGGGGGAGGAGGAGGGAGAGGGAGGGAGGGAGGGAGAGAGAGGGGGGAGGAGGGAGAGGAGAGGAGGAAAGGGAGAGAGAGAGAGAGAGAAAGGAAGGGGAGAGATTTAAAAAGATACGGAAAGCTAAATAAATTGATAAATACAAATTGTTTAGCAGACATCTAACAAAACGGATTTTTGGAATTATTCTCTCTCCTTAAAGTTTGCTCGTTCGCGCGCACACACACACACACAAAGATATATATGTATATGTATATATATAAATACGTATATTATATGTATATATGTATAAACATATAAAATATATATATATATATATATATATATATATATATATATATATATATATATATATATATATATATATATATATATATATACATATACATATATGTATATACATATGCATATTGTTTTTCTTTTATTTCCAACCCTCATCAATTCGATTCCTATTTTCCCACATCCGTTCCCTTTTGTTTACAGATAAACACCACAGCAAACTTAACAAGATGACGCTCCTGCCGTGCAAAGAGCGCTGAAAATAGAATTGAGAACGGAAAATATGTCCGACATTTTACCTTGCTTGCTTGAGTCCGCTTGGCAAAGTCCTCAGTGCAGACACTTTTAATGCTCTGGATCTTTTCCACACGTGAATGAAATCTCCCGTGATTTAGACCAAAGGTTTTTAACCTACGATCTTCGGCGCGTTGTTCAGGGGTTTAGGTTATAGGAAATAAACATGTTTAATGGTCTAATCAGGTTTCTTTCTTTTGTATATTCCTTTTGGTACTAATATGACTTGTGATGTAAATGAAAATGGTGTGTGTGTGTGTTACTTCACATTTGAAATACAGCGAATAAAGAGCTATTATGTATAGAAATTAGTGACAATAATGTTAAGAAAAAAACATTAATATAGTGAAACTTAAAGTAAATAGTCGAATGTTTGCGGAAATACGACTAAACTTCGAGCAATATCAGATACGTGGAAGTGAAACCTCAAGATCTCTTTTTCTTCATTGGGTTAACCTTTAGCAATGTAGGAACGTGATTAGGGTAACAAGATGGTATACCACAAAACATTATATATATAGCCATCGAATTTGAAGGTATTTCAGATTTGTAGATGTGCCTATCAACGCATTATAATTGCAAAGTTTATTAAGTTTTGATTGCTTCGTTCTAGAGCAGAGGTTCCCAACCCCGTTAACAACTTAAATTGGTTTAGAAAAGAAAATTTAAGAATCACATGTCTAAGAATATGATGGGACGAACATTTACTTGCATACATTTACATCTGTACATTACAGAGAATGTGGAAGAACAAAAGACCAATGCATTAAAAAGTATCTGTAATCTGCCGTGTTCGAGTCTGCAGACGTGTAAGACAAGCCCAAAGTAGCTGGCTTGGGACCCGAGTGGCTTGGGCGTTTCCTAGACACTTGTTGGATGACTGTTAATGAAACAAACATTGAAAATATGTCTCTGTCTTGATGGCCGCCAAGCTGAAAATTCTCTGCTCAAAGTATCGACCAAAAAGGATTAGGGAATACTTTGTTCAATAAGTATCGTATGTCCATGTCTAGTAGTAAGAAGAAATATACTTATACAATCTTTGCACCTGTCTCTTGATAAAATGCATGTAAGAGCCGTTACAGACAGACCGCTTTTACTATCACACAGTGAATCGTCACAAAGTCGAACATTTTAAAATTTTATTAGTAACCCCAAATTTTAAAACAAATCGTTTGCTTGTTAACAAAGACGCTTTCAGTTAACGTGAATCTTCTCATAAACAAAAAGGCCTTTTAAGTACGAAAAAAAGTCTCCGATACAATCCAAAAAGCAGTATAAACAGGACTTGTGAGAGATAATAAATGCATGAGACCGTTGTGGTCATCAGAATGTTTGGAATGTATGCACTCGACAAATAGCTAGGAAGAGTGTTCTGAAAAGTAAGTTTAAGAGCTTATTGGAAATCGTTTCACTTGAACCTCATATTACTTAACGGCGCTTTATTTTCATTTTATTTATTTATTTTTTTTATTTATTTATTCATTTATTTATTTTTGTAGTTTTGCTGGGTTTACCTGTGGCGGAGGATGATGGGAAAATTTTATTTTTTTTTGGGGGGGGGGAACCGCTGGCTTATATATGTACAGTACATTCATCCATAAACACAAGGACAACACACACACATACACATACACACACACACACACACACACACACACACACACACACACACACACACACACACACACACACACACACACACACACACACACACACACACACACACACACACACACACACACACACACACACACACACACACACACGCACACCACACACACACACACACACACACACACACACACACACACACACACACACACACACACACACACACACACACACACACACACACATATATGTATGTGTGTGTGTGTGCATCTGGACCAAACAGGATATTACGACGCGCCGCCACGTGCCGAGCCAGTGCAAAAGCCTTCAGATGAGGTAACTATAAATCACGAACATTTTCTGCAAAATGACCGGACTTGAGAGCCAATACGGAATCCGGTCTATGATTGATCACTAATTTACATCAAGTCCCTCTTTAAATTGCACGTAATGTGATTAACGAGGTGACTGGCCATGGCGGTCTATTTTCGGGCTAAAGAACTGTGCCGTTGGTTTTTCAAATCCCGGATATGGCCCCGTTTTTAGCATTTTTGCAGTGAAATGTACTACAGTCTTTGATAATGATAGTTAAAATAGTAATGCCAATGATGATGATAGTGATATCATTCGTGTTGTTATTTTGATTATAATTATCATTATTGTTATGATTATTATAATTATCGTTATTTTTTATCATTATCATTTTCATTAATATCCTTATTTTATTTTTTTATTATGATTATCTTGACCGTTACCATCATTATCAAAATTGTTATCATTAGTATTAAACTAAGACTACTTATAAGCCAACAAATATATTGTATATCTCTATAGGCCTATAAAATACCCGAAAAAGAGAAGCACCGGAGAACATGATTTTGTAATTTGTAATTGGAAAATGAAGAGCCACTTTTATGATAGCTAATGTACCGCAGATCTGCTTGATGATAAACTTGTACTATCTGGTGATGATCAGTATCTTGATTAAGTATTACTTTTGTCTTTATTTGCTCATTGATACTTTGTCTTTCTCTTTTCTTTTTCTTTTCATGTGAAGTATGCGCTTTCCAAGATATTTTTCCACATTCTTCGTATGTCTGTCACCTTTTTATGTTTCTTCTTTTCAAAATCTTTATAGAACTTATGGGTGATTGCACATTGTTCTGCCTTTAGCTCAAACACAAGAAGGTATGTATGTTGGTTTTGTTAATGTGAAAAAGAAAGAAAAGGGTAGTTATTCGCTGTAATATTGAAGTTTATGCAAACTTTGTGGGTAATTGTATAGACTGTGGGTCGCATGTAGTATAGTTTGATATTTAGAAAATAAACTTGTTTTCTATCTTTTGGAAAGTAAGCAATAATGACAAGAAAATAAATGTGCTAGACATCAAAGGTCATATAGCCCTATGGTATTGTATTAAGGTGTTTTTTTAAGTTCTTTCTTAGAGTTGAAATGTCATATTTCAACGGTCATATATTGTATGATAGTAGTTAAAGGAGTAGAATGTGGGGGTAGATGGGGTAGGATAGGTGTTGATGAAAAGAGGAAGGGTTAAGTCTCTTTTGGAAAAGGGAGTTTGGTCGCCTATCTCTGGAAAAGTAAAAGTATCAGGCAGGATTATAGGCCTATAGAAAACCTAGGAATAGGACCACTCGAACGCTTTAGTATTAGTCGGGTTTCATAGCAGATTACTTTTCATCCCAAAATGACAGTTGACTGTTTTTTGAATGATGATTCTGACAACACTTTGTATTCAGAACTTTGAGCTTTGGTGGGTCACGTTGAAGTCTGGTCAGCTTGTGGAATCTGCGAATACCAGCTTTGTGATGAGTGATATGTAGACACACACACACACACACACACACACACACACACACACACACACACACACACACACACACACACACACACACACACACATATATACAAATGTACATATATGTATAATGTATGTGTGTATGTTTGTGTATAGGTTTGTTCATGATATTCACTATCACGTTATAATCGACAGTGCCATGGATTTATGACCATTAAAGTAAGATAGAATTTCTTGCAGTTGTGCGCAGTCGCCAGTATCCGCATGCAGACGAATCCACAAACGCGTGACGTCACCGACCAAAACAAAAACAAACATGTCCGGACGAAGCGAAATGCTCCAACTGTCCGAGCTCCTGAATGACCCTCTCGCCGACCCTATCAACATTGCCACGGAAATAACGGCGGCAACGACGGCAGCACTGTGTGTTGTGTCGGTCATAAGCGGAGAGGGAATTCCTCCGGTCAAGAAGAAGCGTGTGGAGGAAGAGAAGAGCACGACCTTCCATTTACTCTCAGATCCGGAGTTTGTGAATCGCTTCCGGATGAAGAGAAGCACTGTTAATGTGAGTGAAAGTATAGTGAAGAAGCAAAGTGTCCAGTCATTAGGTAAACCTTTTAAAAATAATGTAATACACGTCATGAACAATTGATCTATTTGTACCTGATCCTTAAGTATAGATTAGCAACTTTTAGTAAGGTCTGTAAGGCTTGATGCTTATATTCTTATCATTAGTTTCTTCACTTTATAATACTTCCCTGAAATTAGTTAGTCATATAAAAGAATAATCATTATAATAAAAAGTATGAAGTGTCACAGTTTGTATTTGATATATCTCTGAAGTCAGTTGTTTGTAGATTAATTGCTCTGAATTAACAAAAAGATGAATTGTTTTTTCATATTTCCCTGTCAACAGGATTTATGTCTTCTTCTGGCACCACACATTGGTAATAGATATTTGACAGAGAAGAAAATTTTGGCTACATTATGGCTGTTGGGCAACCAGGAATCATTTCAAGAAGTGGCAGAGAGATTTGAAATTGGAGAAAGTGCAGTGCACACTTTCCTGATGAACGTCTGTGGTGCATTAACATTAGTGATGCGAGAAATTATCACCTGGCCACAAAAGCACCAACTGGAGCAGGTGGCAAATGATTTCATGAATAAGACAGGATTCCCTGGAGTTGTGGGAGTAATTGGTGGCACTCAAATTGGCATTCCAGTTCCAACAAAGTTTGTTGATGATTATAAAAACAGGGACAATATTACAAGTATGCAACTTCAAGCTGTGTGTGATAGCAACTTACAGTTCATGGACATCACAACAGGGTGGCCAGGATCAGTGCACAATGCCCGTGTGTTTAGGAACAGCCCACTGCAAGCTTTGCTGCAAAAAGGAAATTTGCCTTATTTGTATCACATTATTGGGGATGAAACATATCCCTTAACTTCTTATTTAATTGTGCCTTATGAAGATAAGGAAGACCTTACAGATGTGCAAAAGACATTTAATGCGTGTCATGCATTTACTCAGTGTACTATAGAAAGGGCTTTTGAACTCCTGAAACATAAATTTCGACGACTAAAATATTTAGACATGGAACTAGTGGAAAAGGTACCAGAAATTATTGCAGCTACATGTGTTTTACACAATTATATTTTAAAAGTGGAAGGCTATGATAGTTCAGTTGATGTCAACCCCAAGAATAGAAATGCATCAAGTCTGCATTTCACAAATATTTATGCCAAAGAGGTGCAACAAAAGAGAAATGAACTAGCAAAGACAATAGCACACTCAGGAAGTACTTTTGTAAAATAATTAGATTAAAAAAAAAAAAATAAAAAAAAAGTTTTGTGAAATGACCATACACAGTGGTCAGCCACCAAAGAGTTGATTAGTAGACCATATGACATTGTCTGATTTCCCCTTTCCTCGAGTTTTAAGGACTTTTATTTATTTATTTATTTTAACAAATGACATCAGTATTGATGCTATTATTACTTTAAATTATTCAATCATAGGATGAATTCACCTTGACACTAACTTTCTGTAAATTGTTTTCTCAATGGAATAGCAATAACTGATCCTCATGGTTGTAAAACAGTGCAAAAATTTAAAAAAACAGCTTGACACGTGTTTATAAGGTGTTGCCAACATCAGGCTTGTTCAATCAGCTTCCAGTTGGTTTCATGTAAGGGCTGAAGATTAAATTAAAATGGCGAATATTAAATATGTCCCATTGAAAGCTACTGGAAACTGATATGACTGATTTGTCATGTTTTGGTAATAAAGGATTACTGGTATTAACAAATGTATTTCATTTATTGAAAAATTGTGTCAACATCTATGGTCATTAGCTAAATATTCAAAATATAGTGATATGGTGAGGCTTGGATAAGGAAGATTTTGGGTTTGTAAGTTGATGTGTGGATTCCCAGAATGGATAATGGTCAAAACAAATAAATGTGCCAGACAAGGTCATTAAGCACTTGTGGTGGGAAGGGCAAAATGAGTTAACAATTACGAGAAAATGTGTTAGATGTCAAAGGGTGTGGAGTGCTATAGGTTGGTATGGTAATGAAGAGGGTATAGATATAAGAGCAAACGGAGCACGAAAGCCGTTCAGGACTGACACAAGCCAGCCTTTCATAAATTCTGCATGCCTCTAACACTTTAGGATGTGGACAGAAGAAGGGAATGAAGAAGAGAAGGAAAAGGAAAGGCAGAGAAGAGACCGTGCAAAATTAATTGAGGCAAGGGCCAAGGTCCAAGTGATCCCGTAAGTTGTCTACATCCTCCCCCCTGACAACAAAAAGCTAAAGATTGGAGGGTTGGCAAATGTAGTAACCTTGATTTGGAAACATTGTCACAGAAAAATGCCTAAAGATGAAGTACTCTTAAATTTAAGTTTTCTGTGCAGTCATGTGTGGCATTGTTCTTTAAATTATTCTCAGATTTAAGTAATCTTTTTGTTGAATTCCTTATCAACTGTTGAATGTTTAACTGTTGTTAACCAGATTGTAATGTTAATTTATTTTATAACAGAGAGAGAGAGAGAGAGAGAGAGACAGAGAGAGAGAGAGAGAGAGAGAGAGAGAGAGAGAGAGAGAGAAACCCACCAGCCGATCTATATTTGCAGAATTTGTTACCATTTGAGTCTCTATGCTTAGGAAAAACCTTATGTCAAATCTTTATATACTTTAAATATTTTTATATATAAAATCGGACAATAAACTTTATATCTCCCATGAAACTGTATAATTTCCCTGTAATTATTACCATGGTATATCCAATAACTACATCATACAAATTTAATAATATATGAGGAAAAAAGTGCTTGTACTGAACTTTTATTTCAAAATGAAGAACATTACATATAAAAAATATATATATATATATATTTCCCTATTGGTACTGCATATTGAGAACTTGCGAAAAGTAAATCCTGAATGAAAACAATATATTTAAATTAATTAATAATGGTTCTTTACTAATTCCTTTCTTTAACCCACTAACGATGGTACATTTTCAAGCCAAAAATAATAATTTCCGGGCAGCTTAAAAATCAGCGAGCGGGCGAGTCTGGGAACCTGCCTGTGCGCCTCCTGCCACAGGTGACAAAATCAGAGCACAAGCTTCAATAGAGCGTTGCACCAGCGGGACGCCCAGTAATGTTTATTTTTCTGGGTGTCTCATTTGTGGGATACCCATCTTAAGTGGGTTAACATCTTGTTTTAACTGCTGTCTCATAATCAAGAACTGTTGTCGCTGCAAATTTAACATTTCCTGATACTGTTGTTTCTGCTGTTCTTGTAATCTTTCCTGGGCTCTCTGCCTCTGTTCCTGTTGCTGCTGCAAAATATTCTGCTGTCGCTGAAGCATTTGTATCTGTTGTAGTTGCATCTGCTGATTTTGTAACATTTGGTTCATACATGCTTCCATTATCTGGTTCCTTTTCTCAGCAATGTTAACCAGTTTTTCCAATCTGTAAGCCTGGTCACTGAGAAATTCACCAAGGTCATTTGTTGGGTCTTCCGTCCTCTTCCTCTTGTTACTACTCTCGGGCACCGCTGCAGGATCCTGTGCTCCAGTCATTTTTGTTGGAGGCGGTGCTGCAACTGGTGTAGGCTGGAGAGGTGGAGAAGGTGAGGTTGTCATATACACTGGAGATGGTGGGCAAGATAACGTCCTCTCAGATGCAGGTGTCAGAGTGGGTGTTGGTGTTGATGGGCTCTCTGCCAATGTACGAGGTTGCGCGCCAGTTGCTGAGGTTGATGGTTGTTCGGTCTCAGGTTCTGCTAAAAGAAATATGCATTATCATATTAAAAAAAAAAAAAAAAAGAGAGAGAGAGAGAGAGAGAGAGAGAGAAGAGAGAGAGAGAGAGAAGAGAAGAGAGAGAGAGGAGAGAGAGAGAGAGAGAGAGAGAGAGAGAGAGAGAGAGTAGAAGAGAGAGAGAGAGAGAGAGAGAGAGAGAGAGAGAGAGAGAGAGAAGAGAGAGAGAGATTGAGAGAGAGAGAGAGAGAGAGCGAGAGAGAGAGAGAGAGAGAGAGAGAGAGAGAGAGAGAGAGAGAGGGAGAGAAGAGAGAGGAGAGGGAGAGGGGGAGAGGGGGAGAGGGGGGAGAGGGGAGAGGGGGGGAGAGGGGGAGAAGAGAGAGAGAGAGAGAGAGAGAGAGAGAGAGAGAGAGAGAGAGAGAGAGAGAGAAGAGAGAGAGAGAGAGAGAGAGAGAGAGAGAGAGAGAGAGAGAAAAGTGGGAACAACTGAATCTTCAAAATGTAATGTAATGATTAAAAACAAAAGTAATAAAATACATATATATATCTATCTATATAAATACATGACTATATACAAACATATGTACCAATATCCAGTAATAAATACCTATATACAGACATACAGACATACATACCTATATACAGACACACGAACCTACATACATTTAAACTTGCATATATATACTTATACATACACACAGACACATACATATACATACATAAATACACGTGTGTGCGTTTGTTGGTGCGTGCCACTGCCATGAGAAGGTAAACTTCTAAATATACAATATATAAGTGCGCGTGTGTGTTTGTTGGTGCATGTGCCTGTGTGTGTTTGTTAGTGCGTGCATGCGTGCCACTGCCAAATTAAACTTCTCAAAACACACCATCTGGGTTTGCCGTTTTTTCCAGATCAAATGAATCCCCAAAAATATCATCCATAATCTCGAAATACTTCCAAGAGCTCCTTGTCGTTTTGCAGTTTTTCTTGATGTACTTGTAACTGAAAAAGAACACACATAAAAACATCAAACATTCTATAGGTATATGTGACTAGATCATGATGAACACTGATTTATAAGCATGTATTTCAAGTAAATTAGTAACGTTATTGAAAATTCATTTACCTGCGTTTCAATCTCCCCATTTTTTTACTGCATGTGTCCCCATCGCAGGCAAACCCACAAGCCTGCATCTCTTTTTCTATCTCCTGCCAATATGTCCCCATGGTAATCTTGCGGGACTTTAGTTCCGGAAGCTTTCTTTTATATATTTCCAGCAGCTTCAATGTCTCATGATACTTGAAATCTGTGATGTAAAATTCACAAGATTTAATTAATAAAAAAAAAAAAAGTGTAATATAAATATATATATATGTGTCCTATCTTCTAATCATTTTCTTTTTATTGGTCTGTTTTCTATTACTTAGGGTAGTATAAAATTATGTAAGATTCATTAGTAAACGGGAATAAAATGGGATTACGAACCAAATATATTCTCTGAAGGAATTAGTAATCAACCATGCAAGGGGCCTGATATGTCTAATAACCCAGCACCAAATATATAATATATATATAAATATATAAATATATATATATATATATATATATATATATATATATATATATATATATATATATATATATATATATATATTATATATATATAAAGTGAGAGAGTGAGAGCGAGAGAGGGGGGGCTACTCTTTCATGAGACTTAAAAACTCGAGAAACAAAACATACTATTCCCTGGAAGACGGTTACAATCTTGGTTGGAGTTGTCGTCCTGTGGACACTGGAGTTCCCCGAGAGGGTCTTGCTCTTCTTCTTGCTCTGTAATAAAATTTAAAAAAATCTAAGGATATAGTAAACGACAACAACAACAAAATTACAATTGTTTCTTTAACAACTGGGCTGTGTTCTAGCTACAAAGTGAAGTACAATAGATATTGTATATGTATATATGTGTGTATGTGTGTGTGTGTGTGTGTGTGTGTGTGTGTGTGTGTGTGTGTGTGTGTGTGTGTGTGTGTGTGTGTGTGTGTGTGTGTGTGTGTGTGTGTGTGTGTGTTTACAAGGTCTTAATCAAGAAGTGTATTCTTCATTATACTGAAGTGTCAGGAGGGCATAAAGACAAATTCAAATCATATTAGGTCGATTAGATCAACTGTGTAATACTGATTAGAAGAAGAAAACAAAGAAGCTTAGTAAAGCTTATATTATTGTAAAAAAAATTTCATTTCCTCAGATTCTTTTATCTCCCTATAATATTCCTTTTCTTAACCGTTAGGGAATCTGATCAATCTCTATCGCAGAATCATAAAGCTCACCTTTTTCTTTGCACTCCTCGGTGACGTCTTCATTTACAAAGACACTGAAGTCATCCAAATTGTTTTCTTCTTTTATGGAAATTTCATCAATGCTTCCATCCTGATCGTATGTGCTGTTGGTATCCTCATCCATATAATTTGGGCTCTGCAACACAAAATATAAAACCATGGATTTGTGTACGAGGGTGTGTCAGAAAAAGAATGGATAGGAGGAAATACTATTTTTTTTGTAAAAATAGAGTTTGGTGTCATCATTTGCATCATACATTTTTAATAATAGCATTATTTTTTTTTTCTTTTAATATAACTTTTAGTGCATATAAACCAACTAGAAATACAAATCTTATTAAATAAAGACTACTTAACTACAGGCCTATTGGAAATATTAAGGAAACCTAACTTTACCAGACAAAGTGATGACATTAAACTCCAAATCTACTACATTTACTTTACTTTTTGGACAGCCTACTCGCCTTGTGAAGGACATGTATATTTCCTTAATCACTAAATGTAAGGTAAACATTAGTAAATATTTAAACTAACCCCCGGCTCATCCTTTGAGTCATCCCTGTGCTCAGATAACTCGACCTTATTCTGATGGTGCACTGGAGAGCCAGACAAAGCGGGGACTGCACGACTTCTCGTACAGGCAGTCTGTGTAGTTCTGTCAAAGGACTCGTTTGTAGAGTGAGTGGAATGTAGCTGAGAGTCAGGCAAAGTGAGTACTGCATGACTTCTCAGGGGGACAGTCTGTCCAGTTTTGCCAAAGGACTCATTCGTAGAGTGAGTGGAATGCTGCTGAGAGGGTCTTATAAGCATCTTCCTGTCCATTTTTAAGACTTTAAACCATTTCTCCAACTTCACCCTGTCACTATGAGGAAACCTAGAAGTAAAGATAATCTATTATAAATCATTAGATAATTATTCCTTAGACCATCTTTCCTACTGCCCTAATAAAATATATTCTTTGAAAACTATTGGTGCACTGCATACATATAGGAATTTAGATAGGTGCAATAACAAATGCTGCTAGCAATCTTGGTTTGACAGTCCCAAAAGCAGGGTATGGCATGATGATGCTGAGGTTGAGGTCGAAGTTCATCCTGGAAACTGTGGAGTATTAAAAGCTAAAAGTTGTTATATCTTACATACACACGCCTACATATACTGCAAAAAAGACATGCTCACTGCACTAAATGTCTTTAAGAAAACCATTGTCAATATATATGGATTTCTTGGACCAAGATATATCATTTGATATGATGCTGTAACAGAAGTGAATTGGCTATCATGGCCTATTTTACGGCAGCTCGTAATCTATAATACACGTGTTCCCTAGGATTTAGCATTTAATGCTCTGTTTCTTCATCATCTCAAACTAAATCAACACAAGAGTTCGATTAACATACTTGTGCAATGTTATTCCCTTATTCCTTGTCTTTGCTTCATCTCTACTCGCACACACAAATGCAACACACTTTGGCATTTCAGATTTTGATGAGAGGCACACAGAGTATCAGGAAAATTAATAAACTTATAAGCCAGTTAAAAAATGCGAGTGAAACGACATCACTCACCCCATACCTCAGCTGAGCACGTGGAGGAAGGAGATATGAGACCCAAGAAGGCAACTCAAACCCTCATTTTTGCTTCACCTTGGTACATGGATTTCGAGAGAGGCCAGCCATCAGGAGCCACACTCCCACCCGACTTACTATTAATCTCCTGATTAACCTCTCTTGATTTTCTCCCCTGAATAACACATGTGCAAGCTCTGGTTCACCTTTAAAAATGGCCCTAGATTAACTCATTTTTCAAAACTTTTCTCAAACCCTCCGGGCGATTATGCTCACTTCATTCGCCTCCCTCCCCCACCCGAAAAAGCTGGTATGACGTCTTTGATAGCCAGTCCAGTTATGAAGGAGTTTAGAGGATAGCACACATGCACATAACAGCCCAGCTCAGAGTACCTACCACAGCATGTGAGTCTGAGACAAAAGAAAAGAAAATTGACAATGATGTGTCAGATCTAGAAGACTAAGTTATACTACTATTTAGAAGACTTCTTTCTAACAATACAAGTGAATTTGAAGACAGTGTCACTTATAACTGTCTATTTCAACCGTCTTCAATTGTGTCTGCTCTATGAAAAAAACTACCATAATGCATTGAGTATAGTCAAGCAGTCATTTGTTTTGTATCATAAATAATTACTTCCTGTAGTGACTTCTGAGCCTATAAACATGTAAATGTAATATTTCTATAATCATGTACATGTGCAAGGTGTATAATTTCAATAGCTTGCTTGTAATGCCTCATAACTATGTTTACCTTGTCAGAGGGCAAAATATTCAGTAGTTCCTCCTGTAATTCCTTCCAAATAGGTGTCACAATTCTAGGTTCAAGTAAACCAGAACTGTTTTAAATATATATACATACATACATACATATATATATATATATATATATATATATATATATATATATATATTATATATATATATATATATATATATATATATATTATATAATGCACTTTACAAGTTATCAATACAGTTTATACAGTATATATATATATATATATATATATATATATATATATATATATATATATTATATATATATATATATATTTAAAAAAATAAAAATAAATAAAAAAAACACACAAAAAAAAATCCACCTTGATTATTGCTATTATTATCACATCATTATCAATGTCTTGATCATCATCACCACCACCATCATTAGTATCACCTAATGGTCATATTCGAATGTTGGTGGCTGGACTGACTCGTATGCTTATGGTAATATCATCACCATAGTAATGAAACTTGTGATTCGTCTACTTTTTCCTAAGACTTGTATATAAGTGAAACTGATGGATGAAAAAAAAAAAACACACGCACACAAAATTCTTTGCATCTTCTGTTTCTCAGTACCATCAAGAATACTGTACATATATTTTTGGACACAAAATGTTATAAAGGTTATGTACTGCAAAAAGATATGCATTATTACTAAGCATTTCTCTAACATGATATTAATATGGACATTTCCTACTCACAGTGCATGCCTGTCTGTTGGTTCTCCTTGCTTAGGCTCCTCCTCCACATTAGTATCCTCCACAGGAACCTCGTCATCACGGGTCTTCACCTCTGCACAAGTTTCAACAATTTCTTTGCTAATGGCGACTTCTACCACGTCAACGATCTCTCTACATTTTCTTTCTGCTTCTTTCATTTCGGTCAAGCCTTCAAAATCTGACACAAACTGAGGGCATAACTTATGCCAGGCGACATTCATACACTTAGAGGTAATTTTATCCCATGCCGTAATAACATTGTCAATGCAGTCGAGAATGTTGTATGACTTCCAGAAACCACAGAAAGTAGTTCCATCCTCTTTTTGTACTGCCTTTCTGGCCTGCTCATAAGAAAGCTGATAGTAAAGGGCCTTAAATGCTTGATGTATACCTTGACTCATTGGCTGTATAGCAGGAGCACTTTGGGGGTAAAAGTAAAGAACCTTAACATCAGGATGGTAATAATCAAGGCTTTGGGGATGTTCTCGAGCACTGCTCATAACAAGGATAATTTTGAAAGGAATGTCCTTTTCTTTGCAATAATTTTTAACATCCGGGATGAAATGGTTGATGTACCAGTCTGTGCAAATGGTATCCGTCATCTTCACTCTCCTGTTATATCTCCAGATGACAGAGTTTTCAGAGGACTTACCCTTAATAGCACCAGGCTTACTAGCATGGTAAACAGCCAAGGGTTTAAGCTTGCAATCCCCACTTACATTGCCACCAAAACTCAGCAAGATGCGATCCTCTTCTCCCAATAAACCTGGGATACGTATCTCATCCTCATTACTGTCCTTTTGGGCAGGCATCCGCCTCCAGAAGAGGTCAGTCTTAGCAACATTAAAGATTTGTTCGGGCAAGTAATCTCCCTTTTCAATTATTTTTCTAAGATTCAATTGAAACGCCTCAGCCATACGCTTTCTGTGATCTATGCCTAAGCGCTTCTTAAATTCCTTATACCAATCTGCACTAGCTGTGAAGGTTTTGATCCGAGTGCCAGTCCTCTTTTCAATGGCCCTCAGGATAGAAAAGGCCTTCTCTTGAATCTGCGTGAAGCTTGGTGGCTTATCCTGCTCCTTCATGTCATGTATCCACCGATCCAGGAGCCTCTCCATCTCAGCCAAAAGTCGGGACGTCTTTGAAGGCGTCTTACTGGGCTTTCCGCCTGTCAATTCCTTGGCGGCAGCAGCCTTAATAAGATTCCGATCCCTGACGGTGGTGGTGACGGTCGAATTCGCTATCCCAGCCACCTTAGCGATGTCGCTCATCTTCATGCCCGAGTCGTATTTTTCGATGATGTCTAGCTTCAGGGAGATCGGGTAAGGCTTTCTTCCCCGGTGCTGCTTTCTCGCAGCCCCGCCGGAGTTGGGCTGGGTCGACATCGCTGCTTTCAGACGACAAATACACAGAAAAATGGAAGAAAAGTACAAGGCAGGTGAGGTAGGTACGAACACCAAGCAAATGTAAACAATACAAACGAGATTAGCCACAGAACTCCTATGTTTTCTTTCTTATTTGCCTATACCTGTGCAAAAATGAGTGGAGATAAAGATCCCTAAGCACTGTTCATATCGGCTTCCTTAGTCATATATCCCTACCATTATTTTCTGATGGAAATACTACGATGGTGATCAACAGATAACCCAGCGGTCTCTGTTAGTAAATAACAGCTGACTCCTCTTCGCGATGTTGCTACCTGCCAACAACCAATAAAGGAATATTACACCTCGAGACATACAAAGATATTAACCCAAAGAACGTGAATAATAGATATAATCTGAAAACAGAGAACTGCAAGAGAGGATCCGGGGAGTATAGACTATAGTATGGTATAAAATCCTAAAAAAAGAAGAAGAAAGATGTTGCTACCGAGGGTATTCCGAGGCGATTGACACGTCTATTAAATATATATAAACTTTTAGAAAATTGGAATTCTTTCAGTTGCCGTCTTCGTGTTGAAAGGATTGTAGTTGTCTTAATAAGGGTCGCGTTTCATCCAGCCATTTTTTTAGACGAAAATGAGGTACAGGTTCAGTTTCAGTCTTCTTTTAAACGGAAAATGATATATGCAAACGATAGAACGGATTAATCTGAGGATTTTTTCTTCTAATGTACTTTCTCTGCAGCTCAATAATAAAGAAGTTATTGGACATGCAAGTGTCTGAGAGCACGAAGTGAAAATACGCTCAATATTTTTAAAAATCAATTGATATCCTTTCTTTCTTTTGATTGGTGCCGTTTCATATTTTTTTAAATATTGTAATAACTGACTTTCGAACGTAGAGATAGCCCCCGCATGGCATTACACGGATAGGGAATTTGCTTCTGCCTAAGAGGATATGACAATACAAAAGTATTACTACAATAATATCAAATATTTAAAGTAATTAATGGATTTCTTACATTGCGTGATTCGAAGTGTCTGGCTTATATTACGGGCAAGAAGGGCCTGAAGAATTAAGCGGGATTTTTGAAATGATGTATGAGAGTGCGCGTTTCTCTCGGTACTTTTTAAGCATGTTATTGTAAATCGGAAAGGTGCGATATTCTAGTTACGAAAGCCAATGCACTGCATGGAATATTTATAACGAAAGACACAGCATCAGGTGTGTTATAGGTGGGTATAACAAATTTGATAACTGATCGAACATGGAGACCAGCAGATTGCAAGCGGTGCGAGTCTCTCAATATCAGTTATTTTAGATTTTACTTTAAAAAGGGAGTTCTATATTTCGTTACAGTGTTCTGCCGAAAAAAATGACACTATAAATACCGGCGAATTATATGAAGTATACGAAAGCGGCACCGGAGTAGCATTATTTCAAACAGCGAGAAAAGCGAGCGTCAGTCCTATAACAATTGCATTTTCATTTTTCCTAATTATTTTTTACGTCATTCATTGTTTTTTCTAAGGGCATTACGAGAAAATTATCAACTCTTCGAATATTCATAATCATCAGCGCAGATTGGAGCATGTATGAATCGGAAGTAACAATAAAATGAATTAGATACACCGAAAATATGAGCGGCAGAGAGCTCAAGCAAGTCTTTGATACTGAACGATGGCGGAAAATCCTGTCTGAATGTACGTATGAATGAATGTATGGAGGGAAATCATGTCTGTAATGCACTATATGTAAGACCGACACGCTCCTCACCCAATACATTACATAAACTGAAATCCATCATAGTAACACCTGATATGCACACCACGCATTAAAGAGATATTGGATATGTACACCAACCCGTATATTCATACCCAAAATATGTGGTTTTACCCTATGGAGGTAAAACGGTTGTTATACGTGAGAAGATATAATTTCGTTCATTGTGTAATAATATAAAACAAGATTGGCTTCTAGATAATAGTTTATAGTTAACTTCTCGTTCATATGTTCATTTTGATGAGATAGTTTACCGAGAGCAACTGAACAACGACCCAAGTGCTGTGTTTACAAAAGCTTTGTCGACGGTTACACATTTATGCTCACAGGGTGCTTATTATAACAGTAAGAATGAAAAACATTGTCTAAAAGTGTCGTGAAAGCATAGAAATAATATTGATCTTAACGTGTTGAAATGTTTTGGCAAGGAACTACACATTGTACATAGCGCCTGAAAGGACAATAAATGCTTCATGCTTGAAAAAATTAAGAAATTGACATCATGTTTGGAAAAAAAGGTTCACGCAATAGACTCCCTTTGGAGGTGGATCAATGTTTATATATATAAGTATATATATATATATTATATATATATATATATATATATATATATAATATATACATACACACACACACACACACACATACACATACATATATATATATATATTATAATATATATAATATATATATATATATATACACACACACATACACATATATAAATACACACACCACACACACACACCACACACACGCGCACACACACACACACACACACACAACACACACACATAATATATATATATTATATTATATATATATAATAAATATAATATATAGGTAATAACTGCTTTACTGAGCGATATGATGAAGCAATTTCAGACATTCTGAAGTACTGGAAGAATCTTGTTCCATCATCAGTTAACTCCTTGTACAGATTAGCAAACTCTCCTTTACTCTCTCTCTTTTCTTCCACGTGTCATGTGCCCACTTTCTTTTCTTCAGCTTATGCTCAGCCTCTTCCTCTCCGTCAGGAATTGTGGGAATCATTGCCAATTCCGCCTGAAAACTTTGCCATCTTGGAAGTCACTGATTTCACACTGTACGGATTTCCTACGGATATGTGGACAGGCGTCACTGAAGCGTCACGGATTTCACTGACATTGAACTAACACGGCACTGATACGCCACTGATGTGTGAATCGACCTTAATTGTGTAAGTCTCGGCTTTGCACAGTATTTTTGGCAATCATTAATATGATTTACTTAGCTAATCAGAACAAAAACTCACAAAATATTTAAATCGTGTTAGTTGAAACTCTTTTGAGACGGAAGCCATGTTTCACCTATAAAATTACGATCTACAATTGTGGGGTTACTTTTTGCCTGATTGATGCACAAATGCATTAACTTATGGTTGAACAGAAGACTTTTGAATATGAAAATGCGTTTCGTAAAGTTTCCTGATAATCTTATAAAATTTATGCATAAGATTTCGTTAATAGTTGCTTAAAAGCTCATTCACACATGTCAGTTCAGTGTCTTGAAATAGTGAATTCAAAGATAGCAGAGTTTTCAGGCGGAATTACCAAAGATTGCCATAATTTTTAATGGAGAGAAAGAGGCTGAACATTGGCTGAGGAAGAGAAATTGCTTCATGAAATCGTTTGCCACCTGCTTCATTTGGTGCTTTTGTGGCCAGGTGATAATTTCTCGCATCACGAATGTAAATGCGCCACAGACGTTCACCAGGAAAGTGTGCATTGCACTTTTTCCAATTTCAAATCTCTCTGCCACTTCTTGAAATGACTCCTGGTTGCCCAACAGCTATAATGTTGTCAAAATTTTCTTCTTTGTCAAATATCTATTACCGTGCTCCGGAAGCCAGAAAATTGTAAACAAAACTGTCAGGGAAAAATTCAGAGGATCTCCAGTGTTTTTTTCATCTTATCTGCCTATAACTGCGAAACAATGAGTGGAGATGAAGATGCCCAAGTGAACATGCGGTTTTACAGTAATTCTTCTTTGCTGCTTGGTATTTATATTAATATTGTGTATTTTTTGATGACGTTTTAGTGTTATAATTGTTAATATTAGCTTCATCAAGGTTGTCATTTTATTGTGAATAATAATATTACTACCATTATTATTATTTTAAAATGAAAACATCACCCTTATCATCAACAGATGATAACCCAGCGGTCTCTATTAGTAAACAAAGAACAGCTGACTCCTTCCTCCTCTTCCCGATGTTGCTGCTGAGGGAAATGCGAGGCGTCTGACACGTCTAACTATATATATGTAACCTTTTAGAAAATCGAGGTGAGTTTTTTTAGTTGCCGTCTTCTTGTTAAAAGAATTGTAGCTGTCTTGAGGGCAATAGTAGGTCTCGTGAATGCGATATGAACTTCGGAAAATTGCAGTCGGAAGTTTTAATCATAAGTATCAGATGTACTTGATGTTATTTTTCTTCATGTTTTGAAGTATATCTTTAAGGTAGAGTATTTAAAATCATGAAGATTTTTTGTTTATGATAACGTGACTTTCACATTTAAAGTTCTTAATTGTTCATGGAATATGATTGTCAAATAACTCTTTATGTTTGTCATTTACAAATTGTCATAGATAAAAAATATCATAGGATTTGTAATGTAACATGATAAAAAGTGTATTGAGTCTATAAACTGATGAAACTGAAGACACTGGCCATCTATGATGTTTCTTGTTTGATGTAGAAAGATGCTACTCACAGCTGTTCTTCAGACCCTCATATTTTACTGGTAAATTAATGCAATTTTGTTTAATTAATTTACACTCCTATAGAAGAGATCCATTTATTGAAATATGAGGTCTCTGATGATGAGTTATCAGTATTTAATAACTAATGAAAGCTATCAATAAAAATTGATAAGCCAGTCTTATCAGTTTGAATACTTAGGCGTAGTTATGGAATACAGTTATTTTATTAAAACTAAGTGATTGAGTGCATCTGTATTGATTCTCTATTGATAATCCTAAAAATCTTTTATAGCTTTTATTATTAGTTATCTTTGTATGTCTCAAACCTTTGTGTGTGTGTGTGTGTGTGTGTGTGTGTGTGTGTGTGTGTGTGTGTGTGTGTGTGTGTGTGTGTGTGTGTGGTGTGTGTGTGTGTGTGTGTGTGTGTGTGTGTGTGTGGTGTGTGTGTGTGTATGTGTTTACTTGTGCATAAGCGTGCACGTGTGCATGTGCCTGTGTTTGTGTGTGCGTGCATACATGTGTGTGTGCAGGTGTCTGTGTACATTATTCTATGTATTTGTGATATAAGTGTATGTTTTAATGGACAGGTTTATAATAATTTATATTTATGAAATATTTATTTTCCATCTAGATCCCAAGAGACTGCCAGCCATGGCTCTCAATCTTCTGCCCAACAATGCCATGACATTCACGGAAAACCAGCATGGGACGGCAGTCTTGGAAAAGTTGCGTAGCCAGCGCGAGTTAGTGAGGTGCTGTGATGTCATCCTGCACGTGGCCAGCAAGCAGTTCCAGGCACACCGCTGTGTTCTGGCTGCTTGTTCTCCCTATTTCGACTCTATATTCAAAGGTTAGGTTCCTGTGGCCTTGTTTTGGTTCCCTGAGTACTATATATATATTCATTTTATATAAATATATATTTATTTTTTCTTCCTCTTCTTCTTTTCTTTTTTTTCTTTTTTCTTTCTTTTCTTTTTTTCCTTTTTAAAATTTTCTTTCTTTTTATTTATTTTTTTATTTTTTCTTCTTTTCTTTTCTTTTTCTTTTTTCTTTTTTTCCCATAATATTTGATTGGATATAAAGTGAAATATAATTGCAAGAATAAGATTAATAATAATGATAATGATGATAGTGATAACAATACTAACTGTTATGATGATAATGATAGTGTTTGTTGATTGCTATTTCTGGATAGAGTGAAGAGCATTACAGTGCGGTTTCATTGTATGATCCATTGATATAAGAGGCATCATAATGTATAAATTGCAAAAGTATTATAAAAGATTCAGTTATTGCTCCTTTTATAAAGAAGTAGGTAAATAATTTTTTTTTCTGGTATATGTTATGACAGCCAGCAAAACAGTGAAGGAACAGTTGAACATCAGCTCTCAGGATCCAGAGGTGTTCCAGTGCCTCCTGACGTACATGTACACTGGAACAGTTGTGGTGGACAAGACCAATGTAGCCGAGCTCTTGCGTCTGGCAAACAAACTGCTCATTGCCAAGCTGAAGGAGCACTGTGCAGAGTACCTAGAGAGATACCTTGATGCAGCCAACTGTTTGACAGTGAGAGATATGGCCACTAAGTGAGTATGTTCCCCTTTAGAATAGCAAATGAATAGTTTTATTAGACTTGAGATATTCACGGTGTTTGAAACCAGTCAGAATGATGTATCTAAGATATCGAGAGATTGAACCACTAATGACTAATTCCTCAGCCAGTCCTCACATTTTTAAGTAGATGGTAGATGTTGTGCAGCTGTGCAACAGATTTCAGAATAGCAACTGCAAGGCACAGAAATTAAGGGAAATTTAACTATTTTCTGTTTGCACATCAGATTCCCATCTCTGTTTTGTTGGATGCGGGACATTATTGTGTGTGAGATTGTCTTGAAGTGTTGTCGTATTATGCTTAGGCAAAGATGGAAAGAGAGAAGCTGTTAGCTGAACAACAAAGTTTAGAAGTTACTTTAAGGATTACATTTTTTTTCTGATCACATTTATTCTTTTTTTTCAGATTTAACCTTGAATCCTTAGAGAAGACAACTGGGGGGTTCATCAGCACTCACCTGGCAGACATTGTGGAAGGGGAGGAGGTGCTGGAGCTCTCACACACGCAACTTGAAGACTTCTTGAGGTGTCCGGTAAGGACGAATGGCAGAGGCCTGAGTATCTGCATGGATCCCTGTTGCATTTAGAAATTTTAAGTTTTGAAGTTGCTTTAGTTTGATCAAAACTTGAGGAGATTAAGTTTTATGCATAACATTTAAGCATAAATATACTTGTATTCCCTCAAAAATAGTACCCAGAAGGATGGAGATGAATGACTGAGTAAATGTAAGTCCTCAATGTCGTGTATGGTGCATTCTTGTCTAGCAATCTTGCTGACCTGTGCTTAAATCCATCATCACCAGGTAACCCCGCCCATTCCTCACACACAGGGGGTAATTTAGAAGCAAAATAATCAGAATAACCATTGTCACAAATGGAATAAATTAAATTATTGATTATTATCTTTTACAGAGCTGGGCCCTAGATGAGGACCAGACCTTGCTCTTGGTGACACGCTGGGTTCACCACAACCCCAGCAGCAGAGAACGCAACCTACGAAGTCTCCTCACCTGGGTCCAGTGGTGCCGACTGAATCCCCAGACGGCTATCAAATTGATGCAGACCCATCCTTTGTACTCCAACTCCAACTCGCTTCTGGCTCTTTTCTTCTTGCTAGATGCTCTTAATGATAACCAGCTTCTTCCCTCGGACTTCCTTGCACCTTTCTACAAGTTAAAAGCAAAGTTCTGTCAGGTCAGATGATTTGTTCCGTGTTTCTATTTGATGTTCTATACAGTTGTATTAGTGTTTATGCAGTTATTTTTCATCATATATTATTGCTTTTTGAAAGTTGGCACTCAAAAAATTATTTTGTAACAAGAATGAATGTAACAAATTTATAGGTCTTCTATAACTAGCTATACAATCACATCCTTAACGGTGTGTTTATAAAGTTGTTCCTTAAATTTTCAGCCTTCTGATTCCATGGTTGACAATGAGAGCTTCCTTAGTCTGGCCATATCCACTGCAATTGACGGCCTCCAAGAAGATCAGCTGACAAGTAACAGACCTCCTGAACCCTTAGTCACAAACACAGACTTCCCCTCCCATGCTGCCCATCCCTCACAAGCTATCCAGGAGGTTTCCTCAGACATGGAAGAAAATCAGGTTAATGCAGCAGCACTAGGAAACCATCATAAAATTACTGATTTCCATGTAAGTTCGAGGAGAGGCTGTGAGGACGCTGAGGCAGAGCAGTGCCCCCAGTACGAGTTATGTCGTGTGGTGGGACACAGTGCAGAAGACATCCACATCAATCAGCCAAATGTTGTGTTCTCACACCCATCAACATCATCGACAATAGTTGGAACCCATGCACATATATCTGAGGATTCCATTGGCGAAACTACATCGGCTGAAGACATAAGCTTTTCCTGTGATAATCAGGGTCACTTTGGCCCACCCCATGCACGTACCATGACACTGTGGCATCAGGAACCACAGTACGCTAATGATGAGTCGCTTTCCTCTGATTCTAGTCATATGTACCAAAGACAAGTTTATGAACAAGGTTTTACCATGAAGGTCTCAGATTCATATAATGCTAGAGTTAGTGCTCCGCTGGTATATTCTAGCAGAGAAAATACACTGAAAAATATGTCATATTATGTAAGTAACTACAATCCTGAAGATGACTTAACAGTTTCTGATGATCAGAGCACACAGTCTTTCCAGTATGAGGAAAATATGAATCCAGGTTTGAACTGCTACCCATGTCGACCTCCAGAAGAAAAAGAAAACCAACATCTGATCCTCGAACCTCACCACAACCAAGAGAATTATACAAAATCATACTATCAGGATGATTCTGCTAGTGCTCAGGACATCAACTGCAATCAGCGGGAGTTATATTACAATGAGAATTCAACTGACACTCAGATATCCAACTGCCCACAAGACATGACAGTCCAGCACCAGTTCTCACAGTGCCAAAAGATGAAGCAGGACCCAAGGGATGAGAAGCAGTTGATGGACATTGAGGACCAAGGTGACCCTGCTCTCCAGGACAGATTTCCAAATGAGGAACAGCATTATGATCACTACCTGAAAAGCATATCAGAGGAAAGGTTTCACAGGGCCCTCTCCAGGCCTAGTGAAGAATCTCTGGAAACCATTAGACAGAGGGACATCGTACCTCAGAACATGGTATCAGATATGAAGCACGAGACTTCAGAGTGCAGTCTAGATGCAAGAAGTGTGATGAATGAGGGTGATCGAGGTCCATTATACAAGAATTGCGTTGAAGAGAGAAACATGTTTAATGAGGCTGAAGGTTCTGGAGACAGAAGAAGCTTAGAGACAGAACTGCCCGAGGGCATCACTCCTGACAGCCTTCAGCCTATGCCTGCCCTTGATGCAGATGCTACTCCTCGCCAGGTCAAGTTTAAGATCAACAGAACTGTAAATTCCGGTGTGTATTGTTTATTTGAATCTTTCTGTAAAATTAGAATGTTCTTAATTTACATTTCTTAATTTGTACTGTTCATTATTTACTGAGTTTCTTACAACATAAATCATTAGATTTTCAATACTGTGGCTTGATTACATTGTCTTATTTCATTTGTTTTACTCTATAGGGAGTCTTTCAGGGTTTCTATCAAGTGGAAGCCAGGTCATAACACCACCAGAAGACTTAGGACACTCCAACAGGCTGGTTGTCAACACAGCTGACTTGCCGCATTTTGATGGTGATAGCTTAAACCCAGATGATCCTGAAGCGATAGTCCAGGAGGAAGAAACCGCTGTCATAAATAAGGAGGTTGAAGCCAGAGAGTGCCAAGAGGAAGAGACAGATGGGTCAGAGGGGAACTTAGCACAAAGCAAGGAGGCATGGAGGAGGACAAGTTCTCGGATCAAGCCAGTGGAGAAAGCAAAAGGTGTGTAAATGACTTCATGTCAAGTTTATTAATGCAACCAAAGAAATGTTTATTTTTGATGACAGGATACTTTTAAAGTATGGATTATGAGGATTATATTGAGTTCTCTCATTTCTTCCTTCATATATATATATGCACATTTTTTTTCCATAGGGGAGGATAAACCTGCAACAACCGAGAGAGCGTGTGAACTGTGCCAAGCAACGTTCCCTCGCATCAAAGATTACTATGTCCACATGAGAGGCCACTTTCCAGGCCCGCCCCACCGCTGTGACACATGTGAGGATACACTGTATTGGAAAGAGTCCAATAAGAAGTATATTTTTATTTTTGGTCTAGTTTTTAAGATAACAGTTGGGAAAAAAAAAGTGGTAAAACAACCAGTTTTTGAGTTGCTTTTTATGAGTGATTCAGCTCGGATTCAGCATCAGCAGTACTATTTCACTAATTGAGTGTCCTTGGGCTTTTTGGAGTAAGAGAAAGAAGGGCCGGCATATGATTCATCTTAAACATGATACAGCATATTATACGTAAAAGACAAAAAAGTCTCATTTGATTAATCTAAAGAATATGATATAACATGGGTGATATTCTTGATAGACAAAAGGCTAGTTAGATCATACAGAATACAAGGTATGGCTTGATTTGCAAATGATGAACTTTGAGCTGCTTGAACAAAGTATGTTGAGCAGCATGTTTGACAGCCTTGATTTTCAGGTTTCCTTCACAAAATTTTTGGGTTTCATTGCTTTAGGTCGTAGCTCCTTGTATGGTTTTCTTCTCTGTCAGTTGTCCTGTTTTTTCTTTATTTTCAATTTTTCATTCTTTCCTTTTCATTTTCTTTTCTTTGTTTCCTTCTTTTTTCTTTCTTTTTAAATTTTACTTTCTTTTCTTTCTTTCTTTCTTTCTTTTTCATTAGGTCATTGTATGATATCCTTCAATATGTCAGTTTCCCTGTTTTCTTTCTTTTCTTTCTTTCTTTTTCATTTGCTCATTATATGATTTCCTTCTATATATCGGTTATTCTATTTTTGTTTTTGTTTTCTTCCTTTTTTTTTTACTATGTTTTATTAACCTACATGTATAGGAGAAGTACAGCAAGAGAACAAATTATAACTTATAACCCTTACAGGTGAAGCATCTTTCAAGCGCATTTATCACCTGTTGGACCATCGGCTAACACACCAGGAAACCAAGACCCACAAATGCCCGCACTGTCCCTTCAGCTCCCACAAGAAGTTCAACTTGACGGAACACATGGCACTCCACTCCAAGAGCAGGAAGTACAAGTGTAAATATTTTTATGCTTTCTTTATGTGTGTATTTGTGAGTGAGTAGAAGTGAGTGGTTAATTGTCAATGGTGAGAAGACGGAAATTTTTATTAGGTTGTTAAGATGGTGTGTTTGGTCAGTACTTCTCTATGGAAATGATGCTTGGATGATTAATGCTTATACAAAGAAGTATTTAAAAGCTATAGAAAAATGGTTTTACAATAAGATCAATGGAATCTCTCTTTTTTGTTACTTGGTTTTTCGGGTTAGGTCTATCATGAGAATTGTTTATCCAATGTGCTTGCCTCACTGTGCAGAGGTTAGTTTTTTATGTCCCTGAATTTGTCCACACTTGATGTCAGGAAGGAAAGCTTTTCAGACATGAGTGCTTATCATGCATGGGTGGAACTACCACAGCAAAATACAACAAAGTCCTCAGGTTTGAGATGAATTTATCAGCTTTATACTTTGGAGAAATGAAGAATAGAAAGTATAAGAGCTTGGGGCCACAAAAGAAGTAATTGTTCTTACGTGATATGCTAATTGCAAAGACAACAAGTTTCTCCCTGTTGCATGGAATAAGATTCAATTCAAGATGTAATTTCCAATGTGAGTGACAAACATAGTACTTGAAGAATAATAGGAAGGTGGTAAGATAGATAGTAAGAGAAAAGAATGAGAGAGAAAAGCATTCATGCATATTATTGATACAGAGGAAGGCCTGTGTTATAAAGTTTTGATGATAACATTTTCTTGTGTATTTCAGGCAAGACCTGTGGTGATACATTCTCTCGACTTCAAATCTTGAAGGTGCATGAGACAAAGCATACCAATGAGCGACCATTCCTGTGTGAGACATGTGGATGGTCAGGCAAGACTAAAAATGCTCTCATTGTACACACTAAGATGCATACAGGTATAGAATCCATACATTTTTGTTTAACTGATGTTGTTTGCATATGTGTATTGGATATATCTTCATGGAGGACACATGTACAACTGGTATTCAGGCATTGATTCCTTTGTTTGGTGTTTTTGCAGGTGAACTCCTCAGGTGCCAGTTCCAGGACTGCAGTTATACCACAGCCAAAAAGTCACACCTCAAGGAACACATGCAAGGACATTCCAAAAGCCGGCCGTTTGTGTGCAACACGTGTGGCCGCAACTTCATTACCAACAGTCACCTCCGTCGGCATATGAAATTGCACCTGCCGGAGAAACCCTTCAAATGTCCGCAGTGCGACTACTGTTCAGCCAGGCAGGACAGGGTCAAGGTAGGATCCCTAGGTGTTTGTTCAGTGTGCTTTTGTTTTGTGCAGCTTCTCATCTACTTTTTTTTCTTCGTTTCATTCTCCTTCTCCATTTCCTTTTCCTTTTATTTTTCCTTGTTTTTTGCCCCTCAGCTCCTCCTCCTCCTCCTCCTCCTCCTCTCCTCCTCCTCCTCCTCCTCCTCCTCCTCCTCTCCTCCTCTCCTCTCCTCCTCCTCTTCTCCTCCTCTTCCTCCTCCTCTTCCTCCTCCTCCTCCTCTCCTCCTCCTCCTCCTCCTCTCTCTCCTCCTCCTCCTCCCTCCTCTCCTCCTCCTTCTCCTCCCTCCTCCTCCTCCTCCTCCCTCCTTCTCCTCTCCTCCTCCTCCTCCTCTCCTCCTCCTCCTCCTCCTCCTCCTCCTCCTCCTCCTCTCCTCCTCCTCCTCCCCTTCCTCCTTCTTACAACTCCTGCTTGTCACTCCTTATGACACCTGCTTGTCACTCCTTATGACACTCCTTATGACACCTGACTCCTCATGACACCTGCTTGTCACTCCTTATGACACCTGCTTGTCACTCCTTATGACACCTGATCTTCATTCCTTATGACATTCACTCCTCATGACACCTGCTTGTCACTCCTTATGACACCTGCTTGTCACTCCTGACCTGCTTGTCACTCCTTATGACACCTTTGTCACTCCTTATGACAACTCTTATGACACACTCCTTATGACATGTCACTCCTTATGATGATCCTTATGACATCTGCTTGTCACTCCTTGATGACACCTGCTTATCACTCCTTATGACACCTGCTTATCACTTCTTATGACACATGCTCCTCACTCTTCATGACACCTGATCTTCATTCCTTATGATATTCACTCTTCATGACACCTGCTTGTCACTCCTTATGACACCTGCTTATCACTCCTTATGACACATGCTTATCACTTCTTATGACACATGCTCCTCACTCTTCATGACACCTGATCTTCATTCCTTATGACATTCACTCTTCATGACACCTGCTTGTCACTCCTTATGACACCTGCTTATCACTCCTTATGACACCTGCTTGTCACTCCTTATGACACCTGCTTGTCACTCCTTATGACACCTGCTTGTCACTCTTTATGACACCTGCTTATCACTTCATATGACACATGCTCCTCACTCTTCATGACACCTGATCTTCATTCCTTATGAAACCTGCTCTTCAGTCCTTATGACACTTGCTTATCATATATTCATCCATCTGTTCATCACACCTCATTACCACCAGTTCTTCACACCTCATTACCACCTCTTCTTCACAACTGTTCATCACACGTTACCACCTGTTCTTCACACCTGCTCATCACACCTCATTACCACCTGTTCTTCACACCTGTTCATCACACCTCATTACCACCTGTTCATTACACCTCATTAACACCTGTTCTTCACACCTGCTCATCACACCTCTTCCTCACACCAGGTTCACATTAAGAAGAAACATGCCCCAAAGGAAATGGCGAAGGCCCCTGCACGCAAGCGGCAGACCAAGAAGAAGAACTCTACCCTCCACACAAGCGACCAAAATACCGAGGAGGTCCACAAGGTCATCGCCAGTAATGCTGATTGTTCGCAGGTGTGTACTCCTCGTATTTCTGGTGTCTGTTCCTTGTGCTCCATGGTAACTACGTGTAGTTCATTTTAGGTTCTTGCATGTTATTGTTTTTTCTGGGTTGTATAATGATTACAAGTAGTTTACTGTTTTTTTTTTTTTTTATCTCGTAAAAGTGCCTTATAGTTTGTGGTATTTCCATTTAGATCACTGTGAATCATGAAAGTTCATTATAGTTCCTTGTAGTTCATAATAGGGTACTTTAGTTTGCAGACGTTCCTTGTAAATCAGGGTAGATCATCATATTCTTTGGAGTTCATGGTAGTTCATAGAAGTTCCTTGTAGTTCACTGTTCAGTGTAATTCTTTTAGTATTCTATGATTTTGTAACTAATTTTATACTTTTGATTTGATGAGTATTTCCTTATTTATTATAATAATTTATTCTTTCAAAATGTATTTAGTGTAATTATACTGTATAATAAGGAACAATGGGACTTCATTTTAAGCAAGGAATAATGATATTAGTATATGGGAAG